CAATGTGTTATGTGATAGAATGCTATTTTCAGGTGTGTGACTTTTTCTACGCTGCGTTTGTTTAGCTCTGGGAAGCTGTGTTACTGTGATTGTCTAAAACACCTGGTGGTCCTAATAAAGCTCCGAATGGCCAATAGCGAGGCAGGAGCGAGGATGGGCGGGGCTGGCAGGCAGAGAGGATAAAGAGAAGGGGAAATAAGAGGGGGCAAGAGGAGAGCAAGGAGAGGGGGATGTGAGGGGCCAGACACCCAGCCTCCCAGACAGCTACGGAGTAAGAAAGGAAGGAAGGAAGACAGACAGACAGACGGACAAAAGATTAAAAACCCAGGGACAAAGGTAGACAGGATAACATAAGTAAAGCTGGCTAGAAATAAGCCAAGCTAAGGCCAGGCATTCATAACTAAGAATAAGTCTGTGTGTGTGATTTTTGGGAGCTGGGTGGCAGGTCCCTCCAAAAGAGAAAAAAAATCATACACCAGTGTTATGCATGTGTTGGAGCCGGAAGGGCAGGACAAGCTGAGCATTTCGGATTCCCGCAAATTTCATCTTGAGTCCCAGATGCCAGACATTGAGCTTTATGATTTGGCATTTGCCCTGTTGGCGTTTGGCATTTTGGTCCAATACTAGTTCATTGCCATGGCCCAATTCTTCCATTTTGGAATGATGGTGTTCATTCTGTACCATTGTATGATGGAATCGTGCATCTTAATTTTGTAGGAGCTCACAATTGAAGAACACCTCGAATCTAGATGAGAAATGGACTTTACACCTTTTAAACTGCTGGAATTGTTAGACTATGGAGACTTTTGAAGTTGGATTGTATATTGATTTATGAGACAAACGTGAGACTTTGGTGATAAGGACTTATGATGTAAAATGATGCTGTATTTGGCTATAAAGGTGACAAGAGGTGGAGTTGTGATGACTGATCTCAATCTTCAACTTATGAAGTCTAGAATACCCGGGAGATGGGCCTTTGTGCACACCTCTAGGGCATTATCTTGAGTAAGTTGATGGAAGTGGGAAGGCCCACCTGTTATAAGCACATTATTCCTTAGGCTGGGACAGCTGAGCTGTATAAAAAGTTCAAGGTGAGCACAGTGTAAGGATTCAGTGCTTTCGGCTTCTTGGCTGTGGATAGGATGTGACCACCTTCTTCAAGTTCCTGCTGCTGCTACTGTCACATACTGATGGACTACAGCCTCGCATTGTGAAGAGACATAAACCCTTTCTACTAATTTTTCTTTTATGTTCTTTATGTTCTTTTATGACATCAACAGAAAGGTGTACAAGCCAAATGGTTAATTTTAATAGTTGACTTGAATGCATTTAGGATTATTTAGAGACCAGACACATGCATTTCTGGGTGTGTGTTTGAGGGCATTTTCAGATGGATGCACTAGGGAGAGAGACCCACCCTTCATGTGGGAAGCACCATCTATCCAGGCTGGGGCCTCAAAATAAAAGGGGGAGAAGGAGAGAGCCAGCTCAGTAGTGTACCCTTTCCTCTAGCTTCCTGGCTGCTATGATGTGAACGTATCAACTATGCCATGCCCTCAAATGTGTGTCTTGATACCTCTGAAACCACAAGCCTAAACCAATCCTGTTGTGGAATATCATTTTAAGATGTGTTACATTCATTTATGCTGTGAAATATTTGTTTAATGATACAAAGATGTGTTTCATTCTTTTATGCTGCATTTGTTTAATTCTGTGAAGCTGTGATACTTTGCCTGTCTAAAACACCTGATTGGTCTAATAAAGAGCAGAAGAGCCAATATCTAGGCAGGAGAGGGATAGGCAGGGCTGCCAGGCAGAAAATAAATAGGAGGAGAAATTTAGGCTTGAGAGAGGAGGAGGAGCAAAAGTAGGAGGAGAGGATACCAGGGGATAGCCACACAGTTACACAGCCAGCCACAGAGTAAGAAGGAAAGAAAGACATATAGAATTTAAGAAAAGTTTTTGTAGTTAAAGAGAAATGGGATACTTTAAATTAGAAAAGCTGGCTAGAAATAAGTCAAGCTAAGACTGGGCATTTCTGAGTAAGAATAAATCTCTGTGTATTTATTTGCAAGCTGGGTGGTGGCCCCTAAAGAGAAAAAAAACTAGCAAAATCCTTTCCTCATTTGTTTCTGTTGGGTATTGATAATCACAGTGATTCAAAAGAAACTAACATAGCAACAAATTGAAAGTGAGAATGATTTGAGTAGACATTTATCCAAAGATAATACATGAGTGGCCAGTAAGCAATTGAAAAATTTTTCCAGTATTCTAAATCATTAAACAAATGTACATCAAAATAACAATGGCATATCACATCATAGATTAGGATTGCCTCTCTCTCTCTCTCTCTCTCTCTCTCTCTCTCTCTCTCTCTCTCTCTCTCTCTCTCTCTCCCCCTCTCTCTCATGCACACACACACACACACTCAAAAACACGATTTGGTGAAGACATGGAACAATGGATCTCTTCTTTGAACAATGCTAGTAGTAGAAATGCAAAATTGTACAGCTGGTATAGAAAAAATCATTTGACTTTTCAGAAACTTAAAAACAGAACGACTGTAAGACCGAGGAATTCTGCTCCTGGGCATTTGCCCCAGGAGTTGAAAGTCAGGTCTCAAGGAACTGAGAGAAGAGTCTTGGACATGCTCACAGCAGTAAACTGTGGGTAGAACCCACTGCACACACATAGACACACATGTGCACAACAAGGAAGGTAATTATAACATATGCTACAATGTGGCTGGGCCTTGAGGACATTATACTAAGTGAAATAATAGAGTCATGAAAATATAGAAATGCTGTGGGGCTGTGGGAATAACTGGAATAGGCAAGAACATAGAGATGGTAACTACAAGGAACCAAGAGAAGAGATAATGCAGAGTTAATGTTTAATGGGTACACACTTTCAGTTTTACAGACTGAAAGATCTGTACACCCAGCTACTGGGAGAGGCTGAGGCAAGAGGATTCCAAATTCCAGGACTACAGGGGTTCCAGAATGAGTTCAAGCCTAGCCTGGGTCATGCAGTATTTCTCTCGAGATAAAAAATCAAAATAAGACTGGTGAGATGGTTTGCAAGTATAGGTACTTGTTATCAAGCCTGATGACCTGAGTTTGATCCTGGGACACACATGATAAAGGGAGAGAACTGGCTCTTCTGTGTTGTCGTCTGACCTCCAGAGGAGTGTCATGGCATGTACATGTGCATACACTCTCAGTAAATGTAACTTAAAAATAAAAACAAGGAGGGATGGAGGTACATCTCGGGGGTAAAACACTCATGCAGAGTGTGCAAAGACCTAGGCTCCACTCTCAGACTGGGCAAGGACTAGAGATGAATGGTGCATTTGCTGTCATGCAACATGATGAATGCATTTAATACCACTGCGCTGTACATTGAAACGGTTAAGATGGTAAATGTATGTAAAAATTGGAAAAAAATGAAAAAAATTTAATTAAAAAATACAAATACTATTGTTGCCAAAACAAAGCTAAAGAAATGAAACCCTAACAACTTGGGCTCATAAGGCTGTGCAGACCGTTTTAAAATGTCGTCTCAGGTGTTTGTTTGTGTTGTGTGTGTGGCAGATGCCTATGACATCTTGTGTAGGATGTATGTGCACACTTACCTGTGTGGATGCATGCAAGTGGAGGCCAGGGGAGGGTGTTGGTGTCTGTTCTATCCCTCTCTACTCTGTCCCCTGGAGACAGGGCCTCTCACTGAATCTAGAGCTGGCTGGCAGCCATCAAGTCCCACCAACCTTCTAATAACTTTTCTCCACAGCTCTAGGGCCACAGGCGTGTGCCTGGCCACACCCAGGTTTTTACTGGTGATTTGAACCAGAATTCTTATGCTTGCCCATCAAGCATTCTTACCCACTGAGCCATTTCTCTGGACCCTCAGTTAGGGCTTTAAAGCAGAGATAAGCCACTGAAAATAAACAGCAAATCTGCTTGGTGCTGTCACTCAAGCGGAGACTGGCTAATACCTTGGAAACATGACAATTGTCCAGAAGTGACACTGTCTGAACAGTGCATGGTGACAAGTGATATGCAAGCATAAGTGGCAAATCCCGGGGGTGGAAGGGAGCATGAGCATCAGAGCTGGGGAGGAGGGGCAGAGGGGAAGGCGATGGGGAGAGCCAGCAACCGAAACAAAGTAGTACGCAAATGCCGTAGGGCCATTTGTTCCTTTGTAGGCTGGCTTTATAGAAATGCATGTTGGGCGTAGAGAAGACAATCCTGTTTATGGTGCAGTGTGGGAGGGGTGGAGGGCCCAGCAGATATCTAACCCAGCCTGCTGGTTACTGCCTATGTGCCTTAGCAAGGGCACCTTATCCTCTGTGAGCCCCAGTTTCCTTTTCCGGAGGTGGCAGAGGGTCACAGGGAGGCACGAGGCCTGGACTGTAATGATGGCCCTGCTTGCTGCCACTCTGAAGAAACTGGTCAGGTGTACACCTAACATATGAGCATCCAATCGCAGCCTTCGGTTTAGCAGACTGAAGAGTGGGCAGTGGCTGTGGATTTCTGCTGCTGTAATGAAACGGCACTTCCCACTTGGTCAGAGTGGTGCAATCCTGGTAAGAAACAGTCACACTCGCAAAAGAAAAAAGTCCCTCTCGAAAAAGAAAAAGAAAGAAGTAGTCCCTCTTGGCAAATACGCTTCACCCTCAAACAAGCCCACCTATTTTTTGTTTGTTTGTTTCTTTATCTCTTTCTGTCTTTCTTTTTCCTCTCTCTCCCTCTCTCTCTTCCCCCTTTCCTCTCTCTCCCCTCTCCTCTCTCTCCTCTCTCTCTCCTCTGTCTCTCTCCCCCTCTCTCTCCCTCCCTCCCTCCATCTCTCTCTCTCTCTCTCTCTCTCTCTCTCTCTCTCTCTCTCTCTCTCTCTCTCTCTCTCTCCACCACTGGATTGCATTTTAGCATTTACTGACCACCAGTAGATCACCACGGCAGGATGGAGGCTCTACCCCCATGACTGGACATGCCCTGGCTTACTTGGATAGGCTGTGACTTCATTCTTGGGCTCCACAGTCCTGCTCTGCAGCAGGCTTCCCACAGCGCTGGTAACAGTTGGTTGCTTTTTGGGACTTGCCTGGGATTTACCCTATAGACAGAAAGAGGCACAACGCTGTAACCTTGGGTACCAAGCGGGAAGTAAACTTGTATTCACTCAGCGAGCAGAAGGTTAGAGTCATCATGGGGACTCTTGCGCCCAGAGGAAGGAGACACGCACCCAGCATTTCAGTTAGCCAGGGCTGTGGCCTCTGACTGGAGGTGCTCAAAGCCTCAAAGACATAGTCTGGATTGGGAATATTCATTCAATTCCCCCCGGTTGGTGGTGGTTTGCTTATCCTATGAAATCAGTTCTGTGAGGATAGAAGAAATCATTTAATATCAGTCAGGATACAGTTGCGGAATAGTTTATTTTTCTTTACCCTTGAAGATATCTTTGTTTTCTAACCGCAACAGAGAAGGAAAACAGAGATTGACAGGCGGCACATGTTTTAAGCAGAGAATTCCAATCCCCCAGGCCTCCTCTAGCCCTATGGAGCAGCTGCACACTGCACAGATGCAAACCAAACAAGGACTAAACACCCCGGGGGCCTGCTATGGATCTGCCTTTGGGGCCATGGAAAATTTGACACAAAGATAATCTATTATTTAAGTAGAAGCCTCAGCAATGCAAGGATTATGGTGACAGCGTAGCAGGAACATCATCCATCCTCAGCCAGCTGATAATATTGTTGGTAGTATTTTGTGTGTTGGGGGATGTATGTGCACATGATCAAGTTGATGTTAGTGTCTGCCCAAGCATGTGGAGACCAGAGGAGGATGTTGGATATCTTTCTCTACTGTTATCCACCTTACTTTTTGAGACAGGCTCTTTCATTGAACTGGAAGCTCACTGTTTTAGTTATCTGGCTGGCTAGTAAGCTCCCAGGATCTGTGTGATCTGAGCCCAGTGCTGGCATTATAGGCATGTGTGGCTATGCCTGGCTTTTGTGCGCTGGCGATTTGAACTCAGGTCCTCTTGCTTTCACAGCAAATGCTCCCATCGAGCCTTCTCTCTAGCCCCCAAAGGTTTATTTTTAGATGCCAATATTGGTCACCTCTGGTTAAGGGTATGGCCGATTTTGAAAGTTGGTTTATGCTTGCAATGGAAACACATTGCAATTAACAGCCCCGCAAGCCTGAAGCGACCTCTCCCTTCTTGTTCCATTTCTGAACAAGCTCACTATTAGACAAGACCCCAAAGTGGTGGCATTGGCACTCAGGGAGCAAACACTGCCATTCAGACAGACTCAGCAGTGAGCAAAGGAATTTAGGGAGCAAGCAATTTCTCCTCTGTGCTCCCAGTTGCTACTAAGCTCAGGAAAACAAGTAGAGGAATAGGGCCAGGCCACTGGTTATGCCCCAGAGAGCCAGCTGGCCCTCTTCACGAATAAAACCACTTCTGTTTGCTCATTCCCTGTACCCTCTTTGGCCCCACTAACACTGTCAAGCTCCATGGACTCAATAGACCATCTGTAGTAACGTCAGTTGCTGTATGCTGTACAGGGTGGAGGAAGAGTTGAAATTACAGACTTCTCCACACTTAGGTTGAATTGAAGCCTAAAGCTGCCATGGTCCTTTAAAATTGTGGTTCCAACCCCAGCAAAAGGAGAACAGAAGGAGAACCGGGTAAGTGGAGACAAGACAGTCAAAGGACTCTGGGCCCTGCTGTATTCCCAACAACTCAATCAGTTATGCATGATTGCTGTCATTTACAGGCAAAAGTAAACCTCAAAGTCCTGCCTACAAATAACCAAGTACACAATGGAAAGTCCTTGCAATGAACCCGAGTCCTGACTCTCTTGACATTACGTTCTTCCCCCACCAGCTCAGCCTCTACACCTTTATTCACCACTTGTCCAACATACATGTGTCATGCGTCCTCCCTCCTGTGTTCCTTCAGGTTTTGAGCACCACCTCTAATGTGTGTAATCAGAAATGCTCCAAAATCAGAGACATTTGACCGCCAGCATAATGTGACAAGAGAAAATTTCCACGCATGACCTCATATGATGTGTTGCAATTGAAACACAGATACATAGAAAACTTTGTATAAAATTACTTTCAGGCTGTGTGCCTTAAGTATACATGCACATACCAATTTTGTAAGAAAAAATTATAAAAATCTGAAACATTTTCTAGTATTTCTGAAATATTATTTTGGATAAGGGATTTTCAACCTGTACTGTTATCTAGATGCCCAGACTCTAATGTGCCAATCATTTTCCTAACTTCATTAATTATTCCTTATGCTAGTCTCCTATTAGTCCCCTCATTCCAGGAGGCCTTATTATTCCCCCACTGTGTTTCCTTTCTGGTTTCCCTCAGTTCACCTAGGACAGTGACTGCAAAAGTAACCTTAAAAGTCCATTGCATGTCACCCTGTTCTTCCCCTACTGAATTCATGTCTACATTGTGATGACACATGAAGCCACTAATAGATAATGGAACAGAAAAGACAATACTGCCAGGCATGGTGGGACAGGTCTTTAATCCCAGTACTTGGGTAGCAGAGGCAGAGGCAGGCAGATTTCTGAGTTCAAGGAAGGCCTGGTGTACACAGTGAGTTTCAGGACAGCTAGGGCTACACAGAGAAACCACATTTCAAAAAAAAAAAAAAAAAAAAAAAGACCAGAAGCCTTGGGAAGGGGCGCAGAGGAAGGTGGGGAAGATGGCTGCATGGCTTCCCAGAACATGGCTTCCCAGAATTTCCCTGTTCCTGCTCCCAGACTCCCAGGTCTGGCTGTTCCCAGACGTTAGAGCACCTAGCTGATCAATTCCTCCCGTCCTCCAACCTGAACTGGCTTGAGCGAGAACCCTTTTAAATCTGCTGCCTTTGTTGTTCAGCCTTGTCAATCCCCGTCAGAGACTCTGGGTTGTTTGGTTACTGCCTCAGGCCATAAACCAGACTTGTACATCTCATCCATCCCCCTTCTACTCTACAGAACAGAACCTGGGCCGCGAGGCATCTTCTTGGCAACATTTCTCCCACCCAGACCAGTTTCACTGAGTCATAGTTCTTTTCTGGGTGGGTTAGGCTGATAAACACCATTGAATAAGCAGGGTATTAGCATAATGCTATAGACATATTCTTGATCTACTGAAGTCTCATCCTGAAAGGCTTCAAACATTTTAGAAAAAAAAATTTCCCTGCAACAAGCCAGAAGTAGCTAACTCCCATGGAGACAAGCGATAATGATCAGCCTCCTGACCCTTTTACTAGGGATCAGCCTTCTGACCCTTGTGTTTCTGAGGACAGATAGTTGAGTTTCCTGGTAGATCCTACCTATTTGCCGCAGGCATGCAAGGACACAAAGTCCTCATCTGGAGGAAAGACATTTACCTGAGCTCTGGATGCCAGTCTGGCTGCTGTTTGGGCTGGGTCAAAGACGCGCCGAGAGGATTGCTCTTTGCAGAAATTAATGTGTCGCTGGGCAGCAGTTTCATTAAACCTCCTCATACAATATGGGCACTGAATATAATCTGCATAGGAACGCACCAACAAACCACAATTAACATTTCAAAAACAACTGTGGAATGGAACTATAGGAAGTAAATTAAGCGGAATGTAAACTCTGCTCTCACATTGAAGAACAAGGTCCCAGACTCTGGTTTTAGACAGCCTAGCCCAAAAAGGGAAGCTTAAATAGAGCCATGGCAGGAGAAAAAGTGCTCCCTAAGGTACTTATACCAAATAAGAATATCCCTTTAAAATGTTTGCATAGCATCTTTTTCAGGTAATAGATAAATTATACTTAGGAACTTCAAAAATGAAGCTTTTGTAGAAGTCCTACCATCATCTAGTTTTTATGGTAAGGGAGTGCATAGATGATCCAGGAGAAGCCCAAGTATGGTACTAGTTGAGACAGAAGGCTGTTCAAACTTGGAGAGACACTATTTAGTTTCAAAATGTGGGTTTAGGAGATAAAGTCGGGCTCCAACATGACAATGTTGTTAGCAACAGGAATGTCTTTTGCAATAGCTAGCTAGATTTTTTTTCTCAGTTATGTGAGGAGACAGATGACATGTTCAAGAAGGGAACTTATGAAAAGAGAAAAGGATAAAAGTTGGTAGGGGGTCAAAAATTGAAGACCAAACAAGGGTGATGGGAAAATTGCTTTAGAAATAGCTTCGGGTTCCCAGGCAAAACCCGGGCAGCTTCTGGTGATCCTAGATTGTCTGTGGTTCTGTATAACACCTTGTCAAATTTTCTTTCATGTGCTATTATCAGATACATCCAGCTAGTGAAAGGCGTGGGAACTAAGAGAGATCTAAGGTTGTCTTCTAACATGGAGATTCCCATAAGCAGAGCTGGGTCTGTGCCTGTCCCCTCTGAGCATACAGGGATTAGCGCTAGCTTTGTTCTTGACTTAGGCATCTTTAAGGGATATGAGTGACATAAAGATTTTCCTCCCAGCAAGGGTCTGAGCTGCATCAGCCTTACACTCAGGGTGGACGTTTACGTATCAAATAGTCAGCATTCCTCTGTGTACAGCGGTGCCTTTAGAGGGAAGTTGTTTTATTTGTTTTAAAAGCCATATCTTTCAAACAGCTTGAAGAGTTTTCTATTTGAACAAACAACATCCTAAAATGAATACTTTTCAAATGTAAAAATTATCAACGCTTAGGGATGACCTAGTAGCTGTCCCTTTGATTTCCCATTCTAGAAAGCACTGCTAATCATTCATTCAGTGTCTACTATAGTGCACACATTGCTTTTCAGATGGCGATGCAAGGTCTCTGCAATCAAGAAATATGTATTTGAGTGCAGAGACAAGAAATGAAAATTTCACACAGTGATAAATGGCTCAAACAAAACAAAATAAAAAACAAAACAAAACTGCAAAGTGTTAAGAAATAAAGTTGAGCTTAGTTCTGGAGCCTGCCTGACTGGTTTTGAGCCCAAGTCCTTCACTAGTTGTGTGTATAAACTTGGACAAGTTGCTCAACTTCCATAGGTCCCCATCTCTTCAGCACATGCATATCACCTATTTCATCAGGTTGTTGGGAAAGTCAATAGATAATCCACACGAGAGCTTGGCACAGCGGGAAGGGTGGGACATCCACCAATGTTATAAATGCTGGCTCTTGCTGTATGGAAACAGGTCCAGCAAGCCTATGCTTCCAACTGCTAACCAAGAGGGCGAACGCTTAGAAGCTACCATGTGCCCAGATCATTCAGAACTCATTCACGGCACTGCAGAGAAACTACCTAGAAATGGGCCTTCAGTGTGGTGGGTATTTCTTGCTTTTTCCAGGTAGGAAGCCAAGCCTTAAAGCAGACAAGTATAAATCCTATTCATGTGGGTCAAAGACGATGACTCGGCATTGTTGAGCCCAGTTCCATCTATTCATTGCCCCCTTTCTGTGAACTTCTTGCTGCATACCACCATGGAAGCAACAATGTTTGATATATTTCCTTGCCAACCGAAGTCTCTGAGATAATGAGGCAAACACTTTCCAATTGGTAAGGGACAACTAAGTCCCCTGAAGCCCCCTGGAAGGAATGAGAGGCCTAGACATGGGAGAATAGTACAAGAAAGAAAAGGTTCTGTGGCTGAGTATTTTGACTTACTGTTTGCACTTACATTGAATTTCAAATATTCTGAGAAAGGAAAACCATTCTTTCCCTCTGTAGCAATCATCTGAACATGGTGTGTCATAGCTAGCTCCATGTTCTATCCTAGTCTCAAACTGAGTAATCTTCATCCTTAATTGTTTATGAGCTCACACAAAAAATCACTATATCCTATTTATTTCTATTGAAAATAAATTTCAAAGCCTAGAGAGCTAACCCTTACACAATGGATAGTGAGTTCAAAAATTGACCTACAAAAGGATTCTTCTGGGAAAGATGTTGGCCAGATCTCATATAAAATTAAAGTATAAGAATAAGGAAATATTTTTAAATGCATAGATTACACTGAGATTCTTATGCAGCCTATTAGATGCTAACCATTAATTCAACTGCTACAGAATGATCCCAATCCTAAATATTATATATCACCCCTCTTATAAAATGTTGCAATGACCTGGAGATTTGAATTATTAGCAGACTTGGCTAATCCAGTAAGAACTAGAATAAATATATACAGGTCATGAAAACTGAGTCATAAAAGTGGGGACTCGTGCTGACAAGTGAAAGGAAATTGCTTGCAAACTCATGCATATTAGGTCATATTATATTGTATATAAAACTTTCCTTGCATGCGCATATAAATTTTCTAGTACATAAGCCTAAGAATTCAGGTTAATATAAAACCCCCACACAAGCAACATAATCAAACTGCAATGAAAATGCACTATTGTGAAGTATTGGTAAGTGCATATAGTAAGGAATTTAATTATAAAATTTGTATTTTAGCATAAAACTCTGAAAGGAAGAAAATTAATGGAGCATGTGATGAGACCTGCAAAGGGAATTGTTTCTTAGAGAAATAACGGTCCTGTCATTTTCGAGCCTACTGGGTAAGGGAAGGAAATCATGGAGCACGTCTGACATGGCTTCACATCATCAGCTAATTGTAAAGTAGCCATCAGCACGCAGCTTCTTGTGTTCAAATGAAGTTATCCTTGCTGACCCAAGCCAGTGGGTGCTCACTGACTCTGGGCTGAGAGCTGGGGAACCTGCATAGGTCCAAACTAGGCCACCCTGAATGCAAGTGCTTGAGCAGTTTGAGGGGCCACAGGCAGTGGGTCCAGGATCTATCCCTAGTGCTTGAACTGGCTTTTTGGGAGCCCATTCCCTATGGAAGGATACCTTGTTCAGCCTAGACATGGAGTGGGGGGGGGGATTAGTCCTGCCTAAATGTGGTGATGGAACAAAATGCATTGACTCCCCATGGGATGTCTTACCCTCTCTGAGGAGCAGATGAGGGGTGGAGTAGAGGGAAGGTGGGGGATAGGGAGGAGGGGAGGGAGGGGGAACTGGGATTGGTATGTAATAAAAATAAAGTAATACAATTAAATGTAAAAAATGAAGCTGTTTCTCATAAGAGGCATGCTTTGTTCTGTGCAGATGACTCAGATGGTAAACACTTACTTTGCAAGTACAATGAACTGAATTGATTCCCCCAAACCCACATAAAAAAGACTGTGTGTGGTGGTATACACTAGTAATGCCAACACTGCAGGTGTGGAGACAGGAGGATCCCTGGGGCTCACTGGCCAGCGGGTCTACTTTAATGAATGAGTTGCTGACCAATGAAAGACTATCTCAAAGGAGGTAGATGGTGTTCCCCAGTACAACATCTGAGTTTATTCTTTGGCTTCCATACCTACATGCATGTCCATGGGCACACGTGCATCTGCACACATACACGAACATGCATGCACATACAAAGAAATGTTTTGTTTTCTGATTCTTGTTACTATCATAGTAGACATAAATCTTTTGCATTAAACATATTAAGATGATGCATTATTTTAAGCTACATTTTCATTAGTATGGAGCAAAAAATAAAGCAATTATTAAGATTATTTTCTGGCATAGTAGTTCAAATGATTTGAGCTTTAGGAGGAATTTATTGTGTAACTACATTGTGGCTTGTTTTAGACTTTTTCAAGAGAATTTTTTGGAAGAGTAACTTACAACATAAAATGCATTCATTTTAAGTTGGCAGTTTTGTGAGTCTTGACAAATACATGCATCTGTGAAAGCATTCCAATAAAAATACAGAACATTTACTCGCAAATTTTTCTCATGCCCCATTTCAGACACTATTCTTCTGATGTGGCCTCAGTCAAGTCACTGATCTATTTCCCTGTCACTACAGACAAGTTTTGCTCGCTCTGTAATTTTGGTAATAGATATCTTGCTATGTTTATAGCATCTTGCTATGTTTATAGTGGTACTGTTGAGGAGATTTCATTTGCACATGTTTCACAGCTTGTTTTCCTTCATGCTGACTGATGGGCATTTTCAGTCATTCCAATTTCTGTTACGTAAACAAATGTGACTGTAAGACTATTTTATGGATAGATTTTAATTCTTTGCATGAATGTACGGAAATAGGATTGCTGCATAGGTTAAATACATGCTGTAAGGGAACGGAGCACAGTGACTGCATTATTTTATCCTTCTAGGTGCTACACATTCCAGCCAATTGTCAGAGTTCAGTTTTAGTTATATGTGTGAGTGTTGGGACAACTGAGAAAATTGACGCTATCACATTGACCTGTAGGCAAGTATATGGGTCATTTAAAAAATTCATAGCTGGGCGGTGGTGGCGCAAGCCTTTAATCCCAGCACTCGGGGGCAGAGGCAGGTGGATCTCTGTGAGTTCGAGGCTGGGCTGGACCGATAGCCTCCAAAACAATACAGAGAAACCCTGTCTCGTAAAACCAAAAAAAAAATATTCATGATTAATGTGGGAGTACTCTGCCCACTGTGGATGATGCCACCTCTATATAGGTGGTCCTGGGTTTTATATATATATCAAAACAAAACAAAACAAAGCAAAGCAAACCAAAACCAAAAAACC